TATGCTGGAATAATTCAAAAACTTCCAGACTAACTATGAGCCGAAAAAGCACTTCAGCTGTTATTTTTAACGTATAACTTTGATATAGTTCCACAACAATTAAACTGTGCAGATTGATTGTTTTCATGAAGATCGATTCTTTTGTTAATAAATGTCGCAAAATCAATGAAATAATATTTTATTATAATACCAAAGAATAGAAAGCTTTTTCGTGTAGATAGATATTGAGTATGGATGTGCAAAAATCTGCATCAGCAACAACCCTAGTCCATACACAGCGCGCGCATATTCAAGCCGCGCTGCCACATTTGTATTGAGTTACATGCTACTTATTACATGCTATGGCCATGGCCTTTTATTACGTGATTGTTGAAATTGCCGACATGTGTTAAAAATCTTTATTTTACAGCTGGCAAAAGATTTATTACTATTGTTTTAAACGAATATGTAGTTTCGCGAAGGCAATGTTGCTTGGCGTAAAACTTTAATTGCTATTTATAATTTTTTATGGTTTTCTTTATTGTTTTTTTTTTCTCATTTATTACCTATTACAAACTCTATGAAGTCTAAATTACGAAATGGAGGCAATGTGTTTACTCCGAGAGATGTAAATGTTTACAATGCAAAGACGTAGGAGGCCTAAAGATTAACACTATGGGAGTTAGATGAGGAAGTCCTACGGAATCATGATTATAGCACTAGAGTTCGTCTACAGAACTACTGCCGCGAAGCAGGGCCCCATTTCTGCTAATTTCAAATCACCTCAGTTGTGTGTTGATAGAGTGTAAATGGTAGGTTTTTGTGCGTTTGGTAGCCATCGAGCTACTATTCAACTGCCATTGCATTTTTTTGGTATTTTGCCCTTCGATGGCAGTATTTGAAGACTAAATTGTTGTTTAAACGATGTCAAAATTAACATATGCGTAGTAATTTCCATGGCAGTTTTTAACCGACTTCAAAAAAGGAGGAGGTTCTCAATTCGACTGTATGTTCTTTTTCTTTTTTTGTATGTATCTTACGCGATAACTCTGGTATTTGTGAACCGATTTTCATGATTCTTTTTTTGTTGGAAAAGGGGTACTTCCATAGTGGTCCCATTTCATTTTGAAGAAAATCACCCACCTTTAAGGGTGGCTGTTCACGCATGAAGATTCATTTTTATAAATAGCGCCTAACTTTAATTTAGGAGCAATTTTTTTAATGGTTGATTTTGCTGTTTCGCCAATTCAAGGCGTTTTTCTCTCAATATACTTTGAGTAGTGAGAACCGATTATTATTATCTCCAGTGTCAAGTCCTGTATAGTGGCGAACTAGGGGATATTTCAATAAAACTTAGAAAATAAACGTGATTCCACGTACTTTTGAGGTCGGTTTTTTTAGTACTCTGTACTGAGATTATATTAAGGCAACAACGACCGTTAGTAATTGAATGAATGAATGTGCCACCACTGATATACCACTGTGACCCAACTGCCATTGCAAATAGATTTTAACAGAATAGCAAATTATTATCATAATTGAAATGTAATTTCAATGGAATTACAATGATCAGTAGGGTTAGCACAGCAGGGCGCGACTTGAGCGAGAGCGACATAAAACGCGAGATCTCTATGCGAGAATAGCAGTGTCTCCACACATTAATAAGTAAAAATTAAAATATAAAGTTCTACACAGTGTTTAGCAACAATAATGATGTGATATAAAAAGGTCTGTAGCACAATGGCGGAGTGTTTCACAATGCCGCTGATATTCTGCTACAGCCTGTCATGTTCATAAAAAGAAGAAGAACTAACACACACAATCATTCTAGATCTAAGATTTCAAGCCGATTATTAGATATTTACCACACACATGAATCGTTATAAATATTTTTTTCATTACTATTACCTCAGAATAATAACGCATAGAAACCTAGTCTGCACACGCTAAGTGAGGCAAATTGAAGCGCTCCTAATGGGCCTACACGAGCGGGCGGGCCTTCAGTGCTCAAGGTCAACCTGCACCGCGAACAGCCCCAGAATTTTAGCTAAAAATGACGAAATGTGCGGAAAAAGGAGTGTGAAAATACGTCAGACAAACATAAAATAGATACTAACATCACATTCCTCAAGGAAGTAACGCGTTTCAACTTGTATTTTAATATAAATATTCACTAAAACCGAAAATTAACCTACTACTAAAACTAGCCTACATGAATTTGATTTTTGCCTCACTTGTGACAGTTCGTTTGATATGAAACTATCATTCTATGCGTTATTATTCTAAGACTATTACACACAGAGCACTATCCACGCACAACTACACTACGCCTACCTTCAAGGTTTGCCACTGGACAATAACCAATTAAAACACTTCTTACGCATAGTACGTAATGACAAAATATAAATTATGTCGCTCTCGCGCTAGTCGCGCCCTATCGTGCTAGCCCTACGGGGTTTTAAAACAATTGTCAGGATTGTGCCCCTGTAATGTGAACATTACTACGTAATGACTTTAAAGGAGTACCCCCCGTTACCGAATAAACAGTAGCGCATATGGTGTATCACACGGTTTTTGTCTTGCATGAAAACGGACACAGCTCTATACGTTTATCGAATAGGATTGTCAAGAAAATCGAATGAAACTATCGACTATATTGATTTTTTTAATCATTTTTTTAAGTTTCGATCAATTTTTCAAATATGTTTGTACGCACTGCTTCTTGATTCATTAGATGAACCCAATACCTCCTGTTCTTCCGGCGGCAAAGCCGTTGGCGTCTTCTATGGCAATATAAAAGTGCAACAAAGCGTGGATCCATCACAGACGTGTTCCCAGGGCGATTGCTGTGTGAATACCCCGCTGTCTATCCGTTTTTAATCGAATGCGTTAAAACGTGCAGGAAAATGCCGTGTAAACCAAGGCTAAGGGTGCTGGTTGAAACTACCGGTACATGGGACTTGCTACGACGACAAGTAATCCCAAACACTTAAGCGATTCCATTGTTAAGACCACTTGCTAATTATGCGATGCAAAACCAACCAAAAAAACGTGGAAATATCTATGTTTAACGGCGTATTAACATTATTAACCTGTCGTTGACTTTTCCACTTTCTCGATGGTGTTACGCCATTTGGATTCTTTAGTTGAGCTTGGTACTTTGTTTGGCGTGCTTCAGAACTAAACGATTCCTCGTTATCCAGCAGGGTTGACGGGTACTACTTGATTTAATAGCATAACCCTTGGATTGGGTTACTAACAAACTATATCAGATTAGATACTACCTTATATCACGTAAATCAGCCATTCTTGAAGTAACTTTCACTATCTAATTTCCGTGGCAATTTTTATTATTTAAATATTCAAGTAAATTATCATGTAGTTATTATACTTCGTTTTAATCCATTTTAAACAAAAAGTAAACAAACAAGTTACTGACTCGAACATAGACGGTTTAGTGATGGCCAATTGTAATGCCAACTACAAATCGATTAATTAATTGAACGAATCAATTTGTTTAATTGAGTCATACTAGCGGTTTTATTTACATGAAAGTAATGAAAATATATAACCTTGTATATATTTAAAATTACGAAATCTTAATTTTAAGTCCTCCTTCAAATCCTTACACTTAGATATTCGTTCGATTGCGATTAAAATTTTCGATTTACTAATCGATTACAAAAACTATAATTGAATGAACTGAATTTTTTTTTCGTACAGCACTATGCAACCATAGACAAGTAATAGAATTATAGATGAAAAATAATCTCACTTTTGGACTACCGTTTGTCAAATACGATTTTAAGATGCTATTCAAATGAATATCGTTGAAAAAAGTGATGAGATATCAAGTCTAAATCTGCGAAATATACGTGAAAGTGTTACACTTATTCGATATATTCAGTGATTGCTTTGGAATAAACAAACAAGTTTGTTTACTTTTTGTTTAAAATGGATTGTAACAGACTATAAATAATATTTCTCGATACAATACCTGAATAATAAAAATTGCCACGGAAGTTAGGCAGTGAACACTAGTCCGAGAATGACCGAAATATTATGTCTAGTTTCAAAAAGAAATGTCGTATATACCACATCTCTATCTGTACACTAGAATTCCCCCTCCGTCATCAATACTAGTGTTGCCATTTTACTGTTTATTCTACTCAAATCGACAACTACTTAGCATGTAAATTGGTAAATATTTTGAAATTTGCTATAGCGTTACGATTTTTTAGATTTAAACAATGTATTAATAAATGGCTCGTGCTAACAGATTTATTTACTTAGAGTTGGTTCATTGCTCAAATCATAATCTGAGGTAATATTCCATAATGCCGGCGCAGTATGTTTCTTGCAAAGAAGAAAGGGAACTTCTTCTGTCTGATTGTCGTTATTTGGGCAAATTTTTCAGGACAACGTGTTAGTCCTGCGCCTGGTGGTTACTGTTCCTCGTTCTGTTTCTAAAAGACACCACAAATACAGCGCAAAGCCCTAATTCCTGCAGCATTCACCTTTCTTTCATGTGTTTAAGCATGGCTTTGGTTCAATCCGCATAACAGTGTTGAATCGATCTCTTTGAAAAACACCTCGGAAATTTTACAAGAAAACTGTTGTTTTTTTTTTAAACAACTGAACTAAATAGAATACTTTACGATATACATTTTTCAACTAGGCGTTAATTTAGTTTGCAAAAAATAAATTCGGAAATAAACAGAAAAATAAAAAGACGTTTCCGAGGCCGGCTATCGGACACCCACGTTGCGTCACACGTCGCAGACAATACGTGTAAATAAGAATTAGTCATAAGTGTTGTATTGTATTATTATGTATTTTAGTCTTTCAGGTGTGTATTTATGGGTCTTTGTAATCTGAATACAAATAATAAAATAAAATAAATAAAGCCAGTGTCCTTGACACTCGATCCAAGCATTAGTAGTATGGGAAAAGTTTTGCATTCGAGCTGAGGTTTCGAGTATCGACTTTAAACACTAATTTGGCTTTGTACATTGTTCCAGGTCGGTGCGTGTATCGGAGCACGCGGAGGCTAGAGGACGCAGACTGACAGCGCGACTATCGCCATGAACGAGCTCGATAGCCTGCGCCAGGAGGCGGAAACACTTAAGAATGCCATACGTGTAAGTACTTCTTTATTTTTCTCATAAAAAAGTGGACACACGCTTGACCACATTCTCATCTGACTCCAAGACTGTACAAATCCAGAAAACTCGGACCCACTTCGGTTGTCGCTTGTGCACCAAGTCCTGTCCGAAACCGAGAAAATACGATGACACAGTTTTATAAATAATTAATTAGTTTTGAATCACTAGATTTGAAATTTTATTGATAAAATTCATCATAGACAAGACTTCAAGATCAGTAAACTGTGAAACGGTCTAAGGTGAAAACCCTGAAAATCATAATAGTTTTGTATGTTGAAATTTATTCGATGTAAAATTTTACTTGTAAAGAATTCTTCTTAGAAGTTTTAAAATTACGCAGACACTGCTGTCTCCAGTTCACTTCCACTTGACCTTGAAACTGTTGCTGACATAATTGATTTGCCTGTAAATATTGACAGCGACGTGTGCTTTGACATATAATAAGCACAACAAGCAAAACAAATGTTTTTTCATCGACATCCGTCATGACACTGACGGAACACTCGAGTATTCAAGCATCGAGCTGTTACCAATGTACAGAAGTAGCAATTGGCGACTGTATCCGGTTGTCGTTACCAGGACGTCTACTACCGTTCTCTGTCCGAAACATTTACTGTCAAATAAGTAATATTCGACCAAATCAGGAGACTATGTCAAGTATGACTCTTCATTCGCATCATGTGTTTTTACGGGGGAAATGCGTTATGCATACCCTCGAACCCGGTGAGACCCGAGGGTTATGTGGGACTGGCCCTCCAGCAAAGGGAAAACCCACCGGCGCACCCTCTAGCCTGGGTGTCATGGGCGCCGTACTACGACTTCTGCCAAGTTGCCCGCGCTAAAGAGAGTCGGACGCTTGACTCATCCCCCCAGACGGGTGAGACCGTGCAATGCGGGCATGGGATCGCTGGCCTCACTGAGGAGTAGACCCCCTGCTCCATCGCCCGTCAACTATTAAATTTATCTACAACAATTTTGACATGTGACAAAAACAATGTACAATAACAATAAACGTAAAACTTAGTTCTTTATTTTGTTTTTATTTAAAAATATAATATTTTGACAATGTGACAATTTATATTCGCACTGGACACATGGGCCTCTCGAAAGACTTGGTCTTAGCCAGTCAAAACTAGAAACCAAATAGTCGATGAGCACTGTTTTAAAAAAATTGTAAATGTTCTTACGCTTTATTGGAACTCAGCGTGTTATTGTTTGTCTGTGCCCTGTGACTCGACACAGTGTTTTTTTATTTTTTACACGCCTATCCATAACGATGAAGATGGAGCTTGTTTCTTTCTGACTTTCATCGTGAAGTTTTTCTTGTTGCTACACGAAACTGAATTACATTTTTCAGGATGCGCGCAAAGCGGCCTGCGACACGTCGCTGGCGCAGGCGACGGCCAACCTGGAGCCGATCGGCCGCATCCAGATGCGCACCCGCCGCACACTCCGCGGACACCTCGCCAAGATCTATGCTATGCACTGGGGCAGTGACTCCAGGTAAGAACACAACCAAAATTGCTGTAGACCCCATTAATAAGCAGCTCCCTAATCAGATATTAAGTACGTGCCAGCGAAGTTGCCATTCAAATCTTTGGTGCATCTCGAGCTCTGCTAATAGACTATAATCATCGGCATTAGGAGAAAGTCGGCTTTAGCTTTAAACACCACACACGACGTCAATCGTGTGTCAACCGCCTTAATGTTTGTTTCAAAGGATCCGGCTCGAAGGACCAAAAAATGTGGGTCCCTTGGACAACTCACACTTAAAGAAGGTCTCTTTACTGGCAGTCTTGAGAGCTTCTGTGATGTCATTGTGTTCTTGGCATGCCGCTGTAGATTGGAATCTACTGAAAATCCCGTCACGTGTTGTCGCGGATTAGAAGATCAACAACCCCAACACAAGAACACACTACCTACCAGTCAAGAAGCCTTTTTCGTCCTTATATCAAGTGTGGGTCGTCGAAGGAGCCCACAAATTTTGTTATATTATCTGTGTTTCAAAGTGTCGAGTAAGACCAATCGTTATGACTAGTAAAACTTAATAAATTAAGTTTACTTGGTTATTGCTGCCTATTTTTGAAGGAAAGTTCTTTTTCTTTTTTTAAATACGAAAAACTTGCTTAGTTCGCCACGTTTACTTGGTCGAGGTCAAATTCGTTTTATAAATTTCAGCAATAGTATAGATGGGAATATAACCTACACCTTATAACAACATTTTTTTGGCAACGGCTGAGAGTAACCACGGTACCTGGGTCCCAAATCTGGCGATAGAATGTCAATGGATGGCTTTTGTAAGTTTGTTATTCTCCTAAAGTTAAGAGTAGTACCTTGTTAATGGCTAGCTCTGCCATTGCAGTGGTTTTGGTGATCTGCTTTTCAATAGCAAGTCGATGGCACTTCGATCATACTAATTATTTGACAGAAAATACATTTAATTTTAGGACGAGATGAAAATTAAGATGTGCATAGTAATTTCCACGACAGTTTTAGTAAGGCACCATCGATCGTTAGTTGATTGAGTGAATGAATGCCATCACTGCCATTCTGCCGTTCACTAACTAAAACGCGGCAAATGTTAAGTAGTCAAATAACCGTTTTAAATAGCAAAAATGTTTTTATGAGTGCTGACAGGAGAGGGTGTAGTGAATATCAATAATGTCACTGTAATTATTTACCGTCGTACACAACCTCGCAACTGGCGAATTTGAGCCATATACGGTTTTGCGAAATGGAACACTAAATTGAGTAATTTTGTTACGAAGAAACCTTAGGGGAACACGCAGTTTGAATTTTTGAAGCAACTGGGGACAATCCACCTCGTGATGAAACATTTTTGATACAAATGACATGTCCAAGAGAGTTCTTCGATTATCCAATGACATAATACTGAAATGTGAAACGCTGCTGGTATGATGAGAGGTCCTTGGAAATACCACAGGAATGCATTAAGTGCCAAATAAATCTTTGCTTACTTAAATTACTGGCACATGAGACTTGTCAACTTATGTCTGAAGGTGACGGGCGCAGTGGCAGTGCCCCTCAGATCTTTGCGATTTAAAGCTCTGAGTGGCACTGCTACTGCAAGCGCACGACTTGGTCGTCCCGCCATTTGGTATCGTAGATGCTTCTGTCTTCCTTCACTTAGGTTACCTTTGTCACGCGGGTCTCGCGTAGAGTAATGAAAGTAAGTAACGATCGGTCGATTGTAGAAGTATGACAGGTAAAATGTGAAGGAAAGAAGAAAGAAAGGACAGGCCCAATTATTACTGCTTATAAGCAGTTGGGTTAAATGACGTCTGCTCACCTCGAGAATTTTGCATGGAGTGACGAGGGAACGGATCAAAAGTAAGAATGGCGAAGAAATGCAAGAGCAAGATGCAAGAGGTCTCATCGTCACACCTTTGCATTGCTCTCTGTGTCCATCTGCCAGTAAAACTATATCTTCTAAATATACCCGCAGTCTACTTCACATTATTAATCTTGCGCACTACGTTTCTTACATTGCAGTCTTACTTCGTCAGTGGTTTTCTTTCGATAAGGTTTTTGATAATATCGTAATAGATAAGATTGCGAATTATACTGCTTAAGATTATGCAATCAAAATTTCTGTAATACATGTTTTGCGTCAACTACTTACCGCATCCTGCGACAGCAACAAAGCATAAATAAATATAGTCGGTCTTTTTAAAGATGGAGTAAAGTGACATTTGTAGGGTTGCCAATTTTCATAACATTTTACATAGTTATGTGTAATTGTTATCGATAGTTTTATCGATCGTGAAAGATAAAATTTTGCAAAAAATGAGTGAATTTTGAATGTTAGGATATTATAATGATTACTAATGGCGTTATTGCCTTCTTTATTTTTATTTTGACAGTTGGCCTACTAATATCGAGATCAATTTTGTTCATATACATTTTAACAAGTACAGCCGGATTTGATTATCTATATTCAATTAGTAATAAAAATAACGCACACACTCAAAATAGCCCCGCACTTGGGAAACCCTGAGTCGCGGGTGCCATGGACACATAGACCACCACAAATTACACCCAAACTCACGAGAGAAATAAATGTAGGCCATACAAATATTTCTCCCGGGAATCGAACCTGGGAGCTCTGCCTGGCAGAGGTAACCGTTCGGCCACGGAGACAGTTAAATTATTATACAGACAGTTATTAATTAGACAGTTATATTAATTAAAATGAAAAACTTTTAAGTTGTCTCCTCTTTGTACTTTTTATAATCATAGTTCGAAATACAGTGTATGTATGTATGAACTTATAAAAAATGACAATTCAAATGAACTTGTGCTCAGTAATTGGATGAATAGTGGGTCGAGGACTATTCAAATGAAACAAGTTCGGCTGTTATTCCATAACCGTGAACAACATTCAGTGAATAGTCGATAGAATATTTATCGACAGCAATCACTAGCTGCTTGCAAGCGGGCAACACTTACGCAATAAACTGTCATTTGAAAAATATGTATAGTTTGATAGAAAGAAATGTTTGATAAAAACAGTAATGTGTATATAATGAATATTTTCTTCAAATTTAAATGGGAACACTTGTGAGGTACGCCTTTCCAACAAAATAGAATCATCAGAATCGTTTCGGAGTTATCGCGTAACATATATACAAAAAATCAGCTGAATTGAACTCCTTTTTTTGGAGTCGGTTAAAAATATGTTAATTTTCGTCCGGAGAAACAAAAAAGTCATAATTTATAATATTTCAAAATTATAAGTCTATCTTATTAGACTTAGTCGTTCGGTAAAAGCAAAATCGACGCATATTTTCACATACAGGGAATAAAACAGCGTTAACAAGTCGATGTTAAGGGAGTAAGTTGACGGCGTTTTAATAAATTACATACCCATATGTCTCCACAATACATCGTGTAAAGGACAACATAAAACAACGTATTCTAGTATCAAATCAAAATCAAGGGCGGTAAATATTTACTCATTTACACAAAGACGACGATTACATGTTTTGTTTACATTGCATTAGGCATCTTTTTACATTAATTTTATGTGTACGTACATAAAATATGAAAATTTACCTTAATTGACTGTTTACCTTTGATTGAAACACGTAAAACGCGTGTATTTTGTTTCTTCAAAGCAACCAACGTTTCGGGCCCTTTCCAGGTCCCATGGTTAACGGACTTTAAAAAAGAGGAGGTTCTAAATTCGTCTGGTTTTTTTATGTTATACGATAATTTGTGAACCGATTTTGATGATTCTTTTTTGTTGGAAAGAAGGTATCTCAGGAGTGGTCACATTTAAAGATGGCAAACTAGGGGATGACTTTTGAGGTCGGTTTTTTAGTACTCTGTACTGAGATTATTTATGATACCAGGAGGAACAAGTCGTGCGCGTGATGTTAAGCGACACGTCTGTGACAAATTAAAGATACTGCTTTATGACTGCAGTGGTAACAGACAGAAGGCAACTGACTACAGAATGAGGGGCAGGTAGTAGTTATAATATAAAATGACGGAACGAATAAGCCGTGCGTCTGGTCGCAAAGACCGGAGGGGAACTGCCACTGTGCCCGTCACCTTGAGACATAAAATTGTCCCATGTGCCTGTAATTTTACCAGCACCCTTCCCCTTCAAAACCGGAACGCTGTTACGCTCACGTTAGAGTTCACTAAATGTGTCACTAGTGACCAGAGACGGGCAGTAGGTTAGAACTCAAGCAACCCAGTTTCAACCGGGTTTTAACCCATTTCTGCCCAAACCCACGGCTAGAAAGGATGAATACGGAGTTTGTTATAATTCCATACTTATTACAAATTTCAATGTAAAAAATCTTTTTTAGACGAAAAAGAGGTAACTCCATACAATACCTTGCTATCCCATGGAATCTTACTACAAAAGATGCAAATTAGGATTCGGTTTTCATAAAGATCGTTTCAAGTGCATACGGTCTAACGATTTTTTGTATCGACTTATTTCAATGCATTTTCAAGCGAAACGAATCAATAGAAAGACACATCGAATAATCTTGAACAGAAAGCAATAAACATTTTGTAATAATATCCTTATGAAAAACTCGATTTGCAACAAATATTTATTTCTAAATAGTTTTTGCCCTCGATTCCGGACGTTAATGGGTTTTATCCGATATAAACCGTTAACAAAGCGTTTAAAATTCGGGCGCTCAACCATCTCCGCTAGTGGCAACTTCTCGGACATAAGTTGCCTTGAAAATAGCTTTTTTCCATTCAATTTATTCAGCTTTTTCCTCCATCAGATTTGATTGCATATTTATGTTTATGGTTTATTCCTATCTAAACTTCAAATTGGAATATTTTAAATAACAAGTGACATGACAATATTAATTATAAAGCTACATTTACTGTTTTGTGACCACGCATTAATACTCAAATCAAATCAAATCCTTTTTCGTTCTTTGTGATACAGGTTATAAAGTTGTTACAAGAATGAATTTTGAATCACTGTGATCCGCCTTATGGCCTACAAAGTTGTCTTAGTTTTGCTAATTCTCATGCAATAATTTGTAATAATATTATAATCATGCAGTCCAATTAATGCAACCTAATACTAATGAAACATAATAACAATAGTAAAATAATCAAATCAAATCTTCAATATTATAGGATGTCCTATCATTTAGGTAATTAAATAATAATTTCTTAAATTCTGCACAATCGTTGGAATTCCTAATTTCAAGTGGAAGTTTGTTATATACCTTCGTAGCCATTACTATTACACTCCTTTGAAGTAGAGCAGTTTTACATGATCTACTTTTTAGTTGATGAGAACGGCGGGCTCGTGTGACGAATTCAAATAAATGAAGCATTACGAAAAGTAACTCCAATAAAGTTTTAATAAAGTAGGTAAAGTAACACTTTTGGACAATGCTATCTCTGATGTCCATCAATCCATTGAAGTCCATTATTTTATTCGTGACGTAAAAGGCCATGAGGTTAAGTTCGTTACTAAAAACCTTGAAAGTCAATCGCATGTTAGTCGATATTGATAAGTAAGTGGCTTTGTCCCCAAGGGAATCCTTTGGGTCAGCTGCGCTGAAAAATTATTTTCGCCGATATAACAGTTTCTTTTTAAAACATCAAGTGATGGGACGAACAAGTCGCGCAGCTGATGTTAAGCTACACGCCTGTCCCTAACAGTTACAGTGCCACTCAGAGCTTTAAGTCGCAAAGATCTGAGGGGAAAAGTCCCATGTGCCTGTAATTTCACCAGCACCCTTACCCTTCAAAACCGGAACACAGTAATGCTGATATTACTGCTTGGCGGCATAGATAAGGTGGCAGTTCACAAGAAAGAAGACTTTAACAATGATCTTTACTGCTTCTGAGATATATGTAATATGAAAATAATGATGGTGAATAATTAAAACTAATGACATTGTTCAAGGAAAACTATACAATATTGAACACATTTTAAGTTGTATTTTGCAAGGACTGAATTGTGAATCATCATTACGCGAGCGATAGCAAACAGGGTTCTTCTCGAAGTGCTAAGTTTAGACGATAACATGAGTTAGCATTTACCGGTTTACTTGATAACAATAAAGAACATTTTCTGTATGGAATATAAGGCCTTTAAAAAGCAAAGAAGCCTTTGGCAAATGTAACCAATGTCTCTATAAACCGCGGTATCTTAATCTGACGCCTACGTCAATTTTTTAATAATATGAAAGCTGTAACGTGAAACGTCTCTCATCAAGTCAGGTTACTTTAGACCAGAGGTTCCCAGACTTTATTTCTCATAGACGACTTTCAAAATTTAGCTGGTTCCGGTGGACCCCCTGCAGCTACATTTCTACCATATTCCATATCCATATTATTTTTGTCACGTTAACGTAGACCCCCGCCGAGTCTTCCGTGGACCCCTGTGGGTCCACCTGGACCACTTTGGGAACATAGGCTTTAGACCATAGGTTCCCAAACTTAGGCCAGATAAAAAAATTACAACAACCACCACCTAAAATTTAATTGAAAACACTTATTTTTTATATTAATTTGACATACAAAATCACAAGTAAAAAAAATAATATTACATTTATATAGATAATTTAGGTTTTTTTTTAAATGTGGTAGCACCCCCTGGACAGTGACACTGGGGAGCGGTACGGACCACTTTGGGAAACGATGCTTTAGACGCTACATGAGAACTCTGGTTAGATTCACGGCTCAACCTATTAGGGGAAATATTTAAACTGGCTTGAATATTTTATTTTAAGCAGATTTTTTTATTTATTTTAAGCAGATCTAGTTCGACATCGTAACTATCGTTTCAATTTCAATAGTGTTATTATTTATTTTATATGATGTTTTAATTACCGTGATATATATATCACGGTTAATTACCGTATGTGTGTGAATTGCCGTGATATACACACATCAAAAAAAGTTTGCGATCAATAGCATAAGCTCCTATAATTCTTTAAATTTAACTTTATCAAGAAAAAATCTATGTTGTATGCTTTCTTTAAATAGGAATACCCTGTTTGAAATTAAAATATAAAACTATTTTTTATTATTTATTTTAAAAAATTGAGCCATTAATCATAATGTAATAGTGATAGAAATTTCATAGAAAGAAAAAGACTGTTTAATTAAACTTAAACAACAATTTATTATTAAAAGGTGTGAATTCAATATAAAATAACTCCTCCCCTGGCTCGAATACATGCGAAGATCCTCCTGGGCATGCTGAGGATCAAGTTATCCAGCATTTCCTGGGGTAACCTATCCCATTCTTCAATAGCGGCTTCCCTGAGCTCTGGAACTGTCTGGGGACGTGGCTCACGGTTCCATACTGCTCGTTTAAGAGCATCCCACACGTGCTCTATTGGGTTTAAGTCGGGCGAGCCGGCAGGCCAGTCTAATCGTGTGATATCGTATTCTTGAAGAGCAGCATTGACTCGTTGAGCTCGATGTGCGGGCGCATTATCATCGACCAGTACAAATTGGTGCCCATGGTTTACTCGGAATGGTCTGACGATATCATCAATAGCAACTGCTTTGTACATGTCTGCTGTCATGAAGCCCCGATACGGGATCAAAGGCGTTCTAGCTCCAATCATAATGCCACCCCAAAAGGACACCGATTTTCCGCCTTGCTGAACTGTTCCAGTGGCAGTTCTTTGTCTTTCACGGTCGCCTGGTCTTCTCCAGACACGGACACGTCGGTTATCTGGATGAGTGCTGATTCGGGATTCGTCAACGAAGAGACAGTTTTGCCAAATGTTTTCGTCCTCACCTTCTTCATTTTGCCGAAGTCTAGCCCACTGCAATCTTCGTTGTTGACGTTGCCGGGAATTGAGCGGAGCTCGCCAAGACCTCCGTGCTCGTAATCCAGACTGGTGCAAGCAATTGCGAACGGTCTGCGTGCTAACTTCAAGCCCAGAGGCGGCCCTGACTTCTGCTTTTATTTTAGTGGCGTTGATTGTTGGATCACGGGCTGCCAGCAATCTAATATAGCGCTTTTGGGCAGCTGTCAAAACAGTTGGGCGACCGCTGCGGGGTCGGTGAGCTAAATTCCCCATTCCGTGATACCTCTCCAACGTAGCCACGACACAGGATTGGGATATAGCAAGTCTGCGTGCTATTACTCTCGCGGTGTATCCTTCTTCCCTCAAAGTTACTATTCTAGCTCGTAAAACCTCTGATAATCCTCTTGGCATTTTTTCAATCACAACCTTCCGCGAAAAATATCTTGAATCGCTTATAATTGACTAAATCAGATTTCTGAATGAGCGTAAGCTAGGACTGAAAGCCTTTTTATATGAAAAAACAATTGAACGGGGTCATTGTTTTATGTTCTAATTTATTTTTAAATAAAGAATCTAAAAAGAAGAAAAAATCATAATATAATCTACAGTAACAAAAAATATTTCAGTTTTTCGAAGTGATCGCAAACTTTTTTTGATGTGTGTATATATCACGGCAATTCACACACATCATCACATCTAAATATATTTAGCCTGGCCTGACCAAACCTGAGCCGTTACCAACTGAACTATAGACAGCGTTAACAGATCTTACGAATTTCTCTATGTGCTTCTTGCAGATCTTTTTTGTGCTAAAACGGTTTTTTTGCCATAGCGCCATCTGTGGAAGGCTTATGAAAGTCGTAATTAAGTTTTATTGAATTTCAGTATGTTGCACCAGCATAATATTCAATAATAATAATAACGGCATGGACACACACATAGACAACCAAACACATGAGAGAAATAAACGTAGTCTATACACATTTCAACTGCCTCCGTGGCCGAACGGTTACCATACCGGACTGCCACGCAGAGGTCCCCGGGTTCGATTCCCGGGCCGGGAGAAATATTTGTATGGCCTACATTTATTTCTCTCGTGAGTTTGGGTGTAATTTGTGGTTGTCTATGTGTGTGTCCATGGCACCCGCGACACAGGGTTTCCCTAGTGCGGGGCTATGTTGAGTGTGTGCGTTATTATTATTATTATTATTTCCGCCGGCCTGGGAATCGAATCCAGGCCCTCTGCGTGGCTGTCCAGAATGGTAACCGTTCGGCCACGGAGGCAGTTTATCGTTTGTGTTTATTGTTTGTGAAATTACTTCACTAGTTTGTTATAATTATTAAACGAAGATTGAACACTAGAAAAAATTCATTTCGATCCGGTTGGATTGGAACCAACGTCTCCCAGCAAACCAACTAAGTCACGGAACGTGTCAGTTCTCACGAATTTTTCCACGTATTTTGTTGCAGATCTTTTGTTTTCGTTTTTAAAGATCTTATGAAAGTCGTTGTTACAATTTATTTGAATGTCGAAACATGCAAACAATTTCGGCATACGATATCGTATTCCGAAATTGCCAAGTTTACAAGGGAGCGTTTTAAAGTTCTCCGTTTTATTCGGCGAAGCTCGTTAATCACATAGAGTGATCATCTAATAGATCATCATAGATCATTTAACCTTTATCTAGGATTTTATAGTAGTCTATGTGAGTAACGAGCAGCAAACTGAAAAATGCTAAAGTCACGTGTTGTGGTTATTTAATTGAATTCAGAACTTTAAAAGGCTCCCCTGTAATCTTGGCAATTTCAACATAACATACGTAGGAGGGGTCGGTTTTCTATCTTTGTATCAATTAATCATTGTTATTAATGTTCAACCTTTTTCTTCCTAAGGAACCTGGTGTCAGCGAGTCAAGACGGCAAGCTGATCGTGTGGGACAGCCACACGACGAACAAGGTGCACGCCATTCCGCTCCGTTCCTCGTGGGTAATGACCTGCGCGTACGCACCCTCCGGCTCATACGTTGCCTGTGGCGGGTTGGACAACATCTGCTCCATCTACAGGTAAACTTAATTATTAATATAATTAATTATAAAATACCAGTAACATTGAGACAAAGAGACTTGGGAAATCTTAGGGAGTCTGGAATGTTATGGAAAGAGCTTTCGAGCAATAGGGCCACATAGGAGTTTGTTTGTTAGATTGGATACGACCACGGAAGAAAAAGAAAACAAAGGAAGTGTCTTAAGCCTCAATTACTACCAGAACCATTGACTTACAAATAAATGGACGACGGGTCTAATACAAAAACCACGAAAAAAATGTCCCAAGTCAACCTATTTAAACGTAGTGACATGTAAAGGAATATGAAAAAGCTAAAACGTTAAATTTAAATTGTAATGTCATCGCAGTACTGTCTAACTTTGCTTGCTTCGCTGTCAGTCGAACAAACGAAGACTAGAGCGTGAATGACGCTCTGTATACTACTTTAACGCCCTATAAGTTCGGACACTTTTTAGCGCGGACCCGACGTCCATATAATTGTAAGTCAATTACCAGAACCGATGTCGTCAAAACTCACACATTCTTAAGTTGAAACACTACAGAATCTTGATAATGATTGGTCGTAGTTTCAAATTTAAAAAGAAATAACGAATTTTGGATTGTTAATATAATTTAAACTTTACCCTGTTGGAATCAATACCTAATACAAGTTGCGACATTTTAGTATATTGAAATTTCAATCAGTGTGCTGTCACCTAGCGGTTAATAGCTGAACGACGACGAATTGGAGTTAATAATTTAGTTCTCCAAAATAGGAGCGACTATATTGCACGGGAATAAGCTCTGTTTTCGTTTGTTGTGACAAAAAATGATTTCGATAAACAGTTCGAAAAACTATTCTAACAAATTTTCATATGAAATACCACTACGGGTAATATCATTTTTGCACTCCAAAACAGTACAATAAGGCATTTTTCTAGGATTTTAGAGAATATGCTCAAAAGAATAACACAACCCTACCGTTCAAAGCGAAAATGGCGGTTGGGACTAAATATAGACAATCGTCCATACAGTGGTCACGGACACTAATCTAACCACTACTACTAACTTATTGTTATGTGGATACGACTAAATAACCTAGCAAGTGATACCAACATTTCAAAGCTATTGCAACCGTAAACATCTTCCTAACTTGTTTTGTTTGCAGCCTGAAAACTCGCGAGGGCAACGTTCGCGTGTCCCGTGAACTGCCCGGTCACTCCGGCTACCTCTCCTGCTGCCGTTTCCTGGACGACAACCAGATCCTCACCTCCTCGGGAGATATGACTTGGTGAGTTCACACTTTTTATTTCATTCTTGATAAGCTACGTGATCGCGCATGCAATTTGATAGCGACATTGCTGAGATAATATCACGCAGGACACTTGCCAAAATTAAAATTATAATTAAATTAGTTATACAATTGTCAAATATTTGATGTCTTTATATAAAATTCGTTAAGATTGTAAAAAACTTTGTCAATTAACCATTTTTTTAAACAAGCTACATAATATGTGAAGTGGTTCAGACCCCGACAAAGTTATTCCTGTGAGCACGTAAACGTCTGGTGTACGATGATACAGAAATTCTACTACCAAACAGCACTTAATCACTCACTTACACCCACATACACAAATTCTCACACTCACTCATCCACACTCACTCCCACACACACTCCCACACGTACACCCACACACGCTCCAACATACACACCCACTGACACTCACACTCAACACAATAGACTTACACACACGCACACGCACACACAAACACAGATACCTAATTCCTTTGTATTTTACTGTTAATCTCGTTTGTAATATTTCAAACCTTGCCCCTTTTTAGTACCAATGCCAAAAATATCTGTTAATGTAATTTTTACTCCAATAGCTCAATTTATGTGGCCGGACACTGCTTTCCAAGATACAGGCATGTGCCTAGTTTGGATGATCAGAGTTTGTACAACTCACACAAATCACTTTGTACAACTAGTATTGAATTACCATTTATCTCAATTTTGTGATACAATCTTTTTAGGAATAAATTATTATTATTATTATTACATTATAACGAAAATATTGCGTTCAAATTTAGCGCTTTGTACTATATTTAGACCATAGGGTGGAAAAATACGTTTCATGGTCATATTCATATCTTTATTGCTTGCCACATGGTTTCACATAAGACGTTCTAAAATATAAAACAGTAGTCACACATGTGACACCCTGCAAGGGCGCCGCAGTTCAGGAGAGCCCTGCAAATTATTAATTACAAATATAAATATCTCTAGAAATTATTAATATTAACTATTTTCTTATAAAATTAAATGACATTTAAGTATTAATTATTGACGACCTAATCTATTTAATGATTAGGTAAATGACACTTAAATTTTATTACATATTTCGTCATATTTATAAAATGCGTTATTGAAAAGATACTTTTTCAGATGGGCAATAAATATCGAAAATTTTTCCTGGTTTTGTTATCCCATTTAGTACGCTATTTATTATAAATGACAAAAAAAACAAATTGTGTGAAATTTATATTACCAAATGTTAGAGAGACGGTTACAAACATTGTAGTTAGAAACGAAAAATTGAATCTTGTGGATACAGTTGTATTTCTAGGCATAACGTTAGATGCTAAATTGCCATGGGGTCCAAACCGCTAGATTGGTTTACTTCAGCTACTTTCACAGTCTAATGACATACGGCATTTTGCTCTGGGGTAATGCCGCCGATATCAATAGAATCTTTGTCCTGCAGAAACATGCAGTTAGGGCAATTTACAATCTGGGCCCCAGAGTATTTTTGAAAGATAAGTTTAAGGAAATTAATATTCTTACACTAGCGTCTCAGTACATCTATGAAAATGTAGTTTATGTTAAAAGGAATAGTAATTTCTTTATGAAAAATAGTGACAGACATAACATTAATATGAGGAATAATAATAAAATAGCTTTTCTTGATAGTCGTCTTCACAAAGTCAAAAAATCATTTAAGAGGCAATGTATACGCTTCTATAACAAGATTCCGGTTGATATACAACTTCTGCGTACTTGGATGACAAAAATCCGTGGTAATAACCCGTTTAGCTCATGGAGGTAGTCTCGGTCTCTAATACTTGAAAGCAAAACAAAAAATATATTGTAAATGTTGAATGCGTACAAATGTTATTTACAAAGAGCAACCCCTAGAGTTTCTTGCTCATTCTTCTCATAGGAATCTGCCTTACGAATGACCGTTAGAGTTTAGCCATTGAGGCGTTTTCAAGTATAATAATAGATACCTATGAAATAAAGATTATTTGATTTTTGACTGAGATCTTCACCACCCGTTTCCTCAGCGCGCTGTGGGACATAGAGACCGGCCAGCAGTGCGGGCAGTTCACCGGCCACACGGGTGACGTAATGTCGCTGTCGCTCGCGCCAGACCAGCGCACCTTCGTCTCGGGCGCCTGCGACGCCTCCGCCAAGCTGTGGGACATCCGCGACTGCCAGTGCAAGCAGACCTTCCCCGGGCACGAGAGCGATATTAACGCTGTTACGGTACGTGGGTCTACTCATATTAGTTTCAGAAGGTTGTAAACCCTAATGAGCCGTGACCAGGTTCACGGCAACAAATTAAGAAAACTTCATGTCCACGGAAATTTATAACAAGTTGATGGTAAAGAGAAAGAAGAGACTAACAAAAAAGGTATATAAAAACAGGTAGAATACTACAAAACACTCCCTAACTTAATTGCATACGGGTATGCTTAGGGATGAATATTAAGTAGACACTTACCCCAAAAGGGCCGAGTTATACTGAATTACAGACTGGTATTGAAATTGGCACACGATTAGTAGTAGGTATTACAGGTCTGGTAAAGGAATCAAAATTAGATGCTATTGAAATTTTTAAAGAAATTATTAAAGAACGATTCAAAATTTAAAAACGACTGGCCAGGAACCGGGGAAAAGGCGATAAAAAGGTGGGATGACGATGTAAGGAGGTCACAAGTTACATCATATTACTTTCTATGTTAACTACTGACATAAAGATGACTGTAATGCTGTTACCCTTTGCGGGTCCACTTGTATTGGTCTCTATTGCCTTCCGTTGAGATCACCAGTACGACGTGAACTTGAACCTAGCGCGCAAAACCGACAAATCGTCTACCAGCCCAATATAGTCACGTGATTATTTCAACCAATGCGAAGTTTGGTATGTTATTCGCTAGAAAAGTTAGCACGTTGTGAATATAGGTATAAGAAATCAAAATATAAACTATTTAGTAATTAGCCGTTTAGCGATAAATAGTTTTTCCATTCACATTTCCAACGTTGTACCTTGTAAATTGTCTTTAGTAAAGCCGGAGGGAAACAAAAAACACTTGCCTTAACAAGTGGCGCCTTGGGGACAATTAAACACAACCCTTATTAGCACACAATATACTAGTACACTTTATTTCACTGGTTAAAATTATTCTACACTAAAGTTGAGCACAAAATGTTGTAAATTACTTTAAAATATTTATAATATTTTATGTTACGTGGAAAATTTTGATTTGAGTTATATGGACTCCTCTGCTACCGGTATAAGTTATACCCGTATTTTCAGGAACCAGAACCATTACCCTTGCTACGGTACCGGTACTTGAGACGATACCTCCTAATCAAGCGCACCTGTATTTTCAAAAATTCGTCCCATTGATTTTAGTGTGGTAACAGTTGTGTACTAATTAACCTATTTAATAATAAGAAATCTTTTTCTTTTGTTTTTCAATTTATAATAATATTGTGATACTGTAGCACTAATCATTTAACTTTGTGTCAGTGTTACTTGGCGGCTTTTGTCTATACATCTTTCGATACCTTTCGGTGAATCGGTTTTCCTATAGTACCGGTATTCAGATATCGAAATGGAAAATACCAGTACAATAAATGTTTGTTTTGTATCAGTAGCAAGCTGTGGTAAATTTTATATATGAAATCTAAAATTGTTTTACCATGAATAGGACCAGGGGGTCGATGCAGAAATTTACGAGAACTCGGTAGTGGACGATTTCTTTTCATTTTTATTCACAACCGAACCCGAATCGAAAGTCAAAGTGTCGTATTCGAAACCGAACCGAAGTGACGTCACAGCCGTACGATTACTCCAACTTCTCGACCGGCAAAGTTACCGAATGAAAGATAGATGATGATAGATAGATAAAACGTTTATTGTCTTGCATCACACACACAAGAATATAATAAATTGATTAAAAGAGACACACATAAATCAAAATTAAAACGAAAAAAAGCATAAAAACATAATACTAACCTAATTATCAACAGCTTGTGTGTGCTAAAGCAAGCAAATAGGTCGTGGCTCAATGCAAAATTTGCTGAAGAGCAAGGCACTGATTTTCAGCCACCACTTTCGAGGGTAGCGCGTTGCGGTGCATCGAAAACAAAAACATTGTGAGGTGAATGTAGCGTGCATATGTTAGTATCACGTGAGAATTATGTACATTATAAAATATAAAAAAAAAAATTAGTAACTGAAAAATAAAAAAAAAAAATTTGAAAAAATAGTAATACAAATTCATAATTGGTATCATTAAAATAAAATAATAATCAGTACTTAATATCGATGAAAGCCATTGTAACATAAAATGATAATACATAAATGTCCATGAAGCAAGGGGAAAGTTACCTAACGTCCTATTGTCTACAAAGCAAGAATGTAATATGGAAATCTCTTATTATTTGAATACAAGACTAATGCATTCCTATATTTTAGGCCTTCAAAGTCTTAAAAATATAAATAAGGATTTTCATTTTTCTTATAATGTATTTCACCAATAACTCCGTAAACGCTGTTGAATAACGATACCGTACCCGAATCCGAATCGAACGTTTAACTCAGAATGTTTAGAATAGACCGGAAAGCGCCCTTCGATTCGAGAAGAGAGAAGAGAAGAAAGTCGATATCCATCGAACGAGTCGGTTAAAATATCGTAGAGTTCTTAATCGGGGTCCTGGGTCAGCATTGATATTGGAAAGTATTGAATTGATTGTCACAAACTACTGCTCCTCCCCAGTTCTTCCCGTCCGGGTTCGCATTCGCGACAGGCTCCGACGACGCGACTTGCCGCATGTTCGACATCCGCGCCGACCAAGAGCTGGCCATGTACAGCCACGACAACATTATCTGCGGCATCACCTCCGTCGCCTTCTCCAAGTCTGGCCGGCTGCTGCTTGCCGGCTACGACGACTTCAACTGCAACGTGTGGGACTCGATGAAAAGCGAACGCGCCGGTTTGTATTACTTTATTCTTATTGTCCGTTGTTTTGCCGGTTTGTATTACTTTATTTTAATATATGAATCCGTTGTTGCACTTAAAACTTTGGATATAACTTTTACTTTATTAATTGTAGTAGTTTATTAATTCTTCATTTTTTTATTCATTTGTTTTATCTTACGACTTTATCACATAATAATAGTATTTTATTTTTATATAACCTTAATCTGATAATAAAAGTATATAATTTTTTTTAAGTGATAAAAGAAAAAGTAAAAAAGAAACACTCGAGAGAACATTCATTTTACAATTTAAATTAGTTTGTAAATGTTGCTTTTTAAACTCTTTTAAAGTTAAAACTATACTAAGGGATGCGTTCAGTTAAGGGGAATGTAAGCGTATGCGTCACGTATCAAGCTCAGAAAAACGTTAAACGAAACATGAGTACAGAATAATGAATAGGTAAGTAGAGTTAGTTATATTATAATTAATAAACGTTTTCTCTCTTCAGGCATCTTGGCCGGACACGACAACCGCGTGTCCTGCCTCGGCGTGACCGAGAACGGCATGGCCGTCGCCACCGGCTCCTGGGATTCCTTCCTGCGCATCTGGAATTAAAAAAAACCACCGTCGCCACCACACCGCCATCCTTACCTTAAAAAACAAATTTTCAAAAGCGCGCGAACCGCCATTACGTTTAATCGAAATGGCGGTTACAAAATGGCCGCCTTTAAAATGGCGGCATAAGGCCATCGTAAGGTCTAATTTATAATTTTATATTTAAATGTAATACGCGCGTTTTTCTACGGTGTGCGTGGTTAGTGTTTCATGTAAAATATTTCGGATTTAACAGTGTTTTGGTCATCAGTCAGAAGTGAGATTTCTACCTACGCAACTTAACTTACATTTAGATTTTTATAAATATCTTTCTACTCATCAACAAAAGTAATCGTCCATCCAGCATTTTTTTAAACTCACGTCCGAATAAATTTAAAAATAACACAATCGTGGAAATTTCACTTTTGACTAATAAAAAACAAGTCTTAATTCCTTAATATTTTCTAACTTACTGATCTGACAGTTTTGACTATGGAGCAAACCAGCACAAACCTCCCTGTTTTGTAAAAAAAAATGACTTTTTAAAACAGGGAATTAGCACACTTTGCTTTATTTATTAAAAAAAAAACTAAAATATAAATGTAGATGATAATTTCTCATGGCCACTTGGCCGTAACCGCGTCTTAAGCAGGGGAAAATCGCGGGGGTAGGGATTTAACCAAACAAAATTATTGGCTATTGTTGCACAATAAACACAACAACTATAACATCGAAAAATTAAGAACTCTATCTTAATGTCTGTCTACACCTTTCTACCTATCTACTTAGGCACAAAATACAGTTAAATCAACAGGGAAACTAAACTAAAAAGATAAGCTTAAAATAACAGGCATAACATTTTTAAAATTCAAGGTAAACGAGGTTTATATATAAAATAGGCGTAAGTAACGTGTAAACTGCCTTGTATATATATCGAGAATGAGGTTCAGAGGTCCCTCCCCCACCCCTTCCCCTCTGGCGTGGCGGCCATGGCGCGTGCATTTACTCGGGAGTAGTTGCGTGTGCCACCGCTGTACTGATGCTGTCTTGGCGCCGGAGCCGGGCGCTGCTGTCTTGTGTTTATGACTTGGTGAGTGAATTAAATGTTGCGTTTACTCCCGTCTGCTACCACTTTTATCAGATGTAATAAAATTATAGTTCATTTCACGTAGCATGGGTACGGTGATGTTTGAGATTTGAAGTTGAATGAAAAAAAAATCGATTTAAATATCTTATTGGGATAATTTGTAACGAAGCGAAGAGAAAATCGATTTAGGGACTATAATTTAAGAATAAACAAAATAAGAAGGATTAGATTATTATGTTACTAAATCAATGAAATGAAATTTCAGTAATGCAAACTCAAAAAAAAAAAAAAGAAATCGACATACAAGGTGTATTCACTTGTATTGAAGCGAGATACACAACAGCCGATTTGATTTACCGATTCCATGGTGCCAACCTATATGTAGAAATATTCCGTTTTAAGCTTCAAGTAGTTGGGATAATTTATTTTTATGTTTATCATTTCATTTTCAATCATAATATACTGTAATTTTTGTTTAAAATTACAACTCCAACAAAATATTGTTTATATTTGGTATATATAATTTTAATTTTTGGTATATAAAAATTTACTATTTCTTTTTGTAACCGGTTGAGAGATTAGTTGGAAATAGTACACGTGGAACATGAAATTCTGAAACGTCACATTAACCGTCCTATGTGCAATGGACTGTAGTCGCATCTTGCCCCTGATTAGGGGTGATAGTGTCTTTTCCACTATTTCATTATAGGTAACAAGTTTTATGCTCAAAGTTTGAATAGAGTTGACGCCTCTATTACTCTGTAATTTTGGATAGCATGTATAATCAAGCTGCAATACAGGGAGACGTTTTAATTTGTACAGGTTTTAAATAAGGGCGTCACTTTTTCTGCTGGTGTTCGTAATTATAATAACTAAAATAATTGGCAAAAATAGGCCGAATATATTTATTACGTATTATAAATTTGAACATATACATATACAGTGAATAATAAATGACAACAATTCATTATTCCTAAGGCTCAATTTACATTGAGGCGGACCGGAATGAAGTGGAAGCGTCAATTGCTGCCTTCGCGCCACTTCTCGCGGATGCGAATTCCGCAGAAGACGCGTGACGTGATTTTTAGCTCGTATCTGGTTTATATGTTACACAATTGACCATAAAGTTCATTACGCTATATACATTATCGTTACAAAAATTCGCTTCTATTCCGTTCCGCCGCAATGTGAATTGAGCTTAAGGCAACAATAGCGAAATTTTACCGATTTATTAGAAAGTTTTCAGTTTACATATAAATTTTAAAACAATCTATCAAAGATGCTGATAAGCAATAAAGTAGACACGTTATTGCTTATCAGGATCCTAAATATCTATGTCTGATAATCATACTAAATGATAAATGTTAACAAATGTCTTTACAAAGAGCAACAGCTGCAGTTTCTTACTCTTTCTTTCCAAGGTAATTTAATCAATTATTGAAATTAACTTTTGCGTCTTTTCCAGATGATTAACATCGCACAACAGTAAGAGTTCTAAGTGTATAACCAAGGAACCAAATATTATTATTAATGTATCTAAATTGTAATTTATTGTGGGCGAACATTCTTCTGTATCTAATGGTGGAGCTATTTATGATTTTAATTGTTATGTAAAAATAAAATACACTGTATTGTTTATGTGGTGTATGAAAGAAAACTAAACTTCGCTGAATTCGGATAGACAGTTAATGACGTCATTAAATCGATTAATTGTTACGTTACGTCTTGTGTCTTTTGACTTCGTTGATTTTGTGATTTTGAAATTTGACAGATCTAGAAATATTGTTGTTTCTATGGAACTAATAGATAGTGAAAGGGATAACAATGTTCATTTACGTATTAGTAGTAAAGTGTAGGGCAGGAAGTGATTTGTTTTTTTTCCTGTTCCGTATGACAAAGAATTGGAATACACTGCCGACATCTGTGTTTCCGGAAAGCAATAATTTTGCGTTATTTAAGGCTAATAAGAACAGGCTTTCGTCAGTCGCTTAACATCAAGTGAGGTTGTGGCCAAGTCTTCGTCTACTTGTAATGCTTGCCATCGTGGTGGAAGGGTTTGCCCATCGCTTTATTAAAAGCCTAGTTCACCCCAATCTATTCCTTTCAAAACTAGAGAACATTTGTCTTAAAGCAATCACCATTTGCCACTGATATGTATTTAGATCTGTGGATTTTGAGAATTTCCAGTCACCGAAGCATTACTCACTAGACATTTCGTGTGGTTAATTTTCACGGTTTTTACCTACGTTCCGCACAATCATGCACAAAAAGGTTTTTATTTCTATTGTAAGTAATTATGGAAATAATGTTTTTATTTTTTTTCACTATCGGTACATAGACGATACAGTGTGAATGTTTAGTCGTAGAAATCACCCGTAAAGTAAGCAAAGAGATTGAATTAGAGAGATCTCTGATCGAAATTATTTGTTTCTATTATTTTCGTGATAAGGGCTTTTCGCGTACGACGTATAGATAAAAAAAAACAATAGAAAAAAGTTATAAAAATAGTGCCATAAATTGATTAAAATAATTACACTATTCCATGTTAATTGATGAATAATTGAAAGAAATCAATATTATTGTTTGAAAAAATTTGTGTCGTATTCGAAAATTCCTTTGACACCTATATTTCATTTTTAAAGAAGTTAGATTATATATTATAATTTATTATTTGACTATAATTTACAATTATAATGATTTCTCACTGTATACAAAATTGTTTCTTGTGTTCATATCAACCCATGAGAAGGCATATACATACACATCAATTGCGCTATTAAAGGTCACATCATACGAGCTGTTATTTGAGCTACAGATATTCCAGCATGGGATGTGCTCGGGTGTCGCTCGTGTAACACGACCCTTACAAATCTAATTTTAGTACAAAGACCTCTGATTGTATGTAAATATGTTTTTCCTTGAAAAATCCTGCAATATTAGCTTAAATATCGTGCACAAAGCAACGACATTGTGTGACCACGAAACTCAGCATTTTTATTCTCAATAATTTTAATGTACAGGGCGCAAAAATTGTTTTTCATTTAAAATTCATTAAAATAACGCTGTCAGAGTTTAGTATATCCTGTGTACATTTAAGCACAATCTAATAACTTCATTCATATTTACAATTTTTTAAATACAGAACGAATGAACAGGGTACTTGGGATTTCAATATGGGCGTAAAAATTCTACAGATAAAAATAAATAAAAGAATTCAAGGGGTTCCATATTAGTTTTCTTTAAAAAATAAATGACTGTCTGAAAAACGCTTTTCTCGAGATAATTTGTCTCGAATCATTAGAGTCACTAAAAACAAGTACTTATCACATTTTCTATCCTAAATAATCTCATTTTTCATACACGAGAACAAAAAATCCCTTGTACGTTATCAACTTTCGAGAAAAAGGACAATGAACATCATAAATATGTCCTTTGAGTTCATTTTATTAGACTAAGCTAGATATAGGTATGTAAGGGTTTAAATACAGAACATAGGCATTTGTAACTTCGACATTCTGTGTTGCTATTTACGAAATTTGACGCCAATATTTGTTTGTGGTAACACTAATTTCTTTTTTAAATTTCGTTGCAGTATTTTATGCACAAATATTTTTAATGTAGAGCTTTTTTATAATTTTAGTCGATGGATGGTTGTCGCTATTACGTTTATAAATCATTTTATAAAAATAAGCCTTTTTGTCGTAGATAGGATTTAATATGTAGGTGTTTAAATTAAGGCAGGCGCGTTTGGACATGGCAACACTTCACTTTTTTTCTTAAATATAAACAAACACAGTTTACAAGAAACGCAGTAGGTTCATTGTATGTCATGCTCAATTTTGTATTATGGTTATGACGTATAGAGGTTTTTTAACACCTACTGCATCGTTTATGATGAAATGCAAAGGCCATTGCTTCGAGCTCGTAAAGACAAAGTGGCATATCAATCTCTGCCATATTGTATTTGTAATCTCAACAAAATATGAACTGTTTTTGACAACCTTTCATTGGTTTATGTTGAGTTTTATTTTATTCATTTGGAGATATTTAACTAAAAAGTTATTAAGATCGGACTTTGTCAAGTGAACAGGGATATTTATCTTAAAGCAATTACGTTTAAACTGTTTTAAGATTTAGAAATTCGCCAATTCCAGTCCCTTACTGTACGGTCGTAGCTTCGGTAAACTTAACAACCATGTGATGAACTCCAAATGGATATTTTATTTGTTTAATTTTATTAAATTCTACGAGCAACACGCATTGCATCTTTTCGTCTATGTAAAAGTGTTTTCTATGTAACATTTAATCGCCCGACGTTGTTTAAAACGTTAAACAACAGTACTGGTTACAACTGGTTACTACCGAATTTAAGGCAATATTTTGTTATGGCAACACAAATTTAGATAAAAGAATAACGTTTATGTACTATTACAAAAACGGCAATATTTTGTGATAGCAACACTAAATTAAATTTTGAGAAAAGAATGTTTAAGTACGATTTAAAAAATATATATATATATTAATGTGTACCTGTCTGTACTTTATGTCCGTTTTATTTTATACAGTGTGATCGTAAAAGGAGATGAAATTGCGTTGGGCGATTAAAGAAAGAAGGCACTATTAGTGGTCGAGCGGCTAGATTTACGCCTAGAATAAGACTTTTTTAAAAGTAAAACATTGTTTTTCTACTGTAACAGCTTCTTTTCCAATTGGTGTACGAAAACTTATAGTATATGGGGTGACATTTAAAATGTTTTCTTACATTTTAACGGGTTTACTACACATTATTTCTAAATAGGTTATCTATTTATAAAAAGGACATTTCATTGTATCGAAAGTATAACATTGTAAATTTGAGAGCGCGTCTTCACTCCGCGCTTTACTCTCAGTCCAAACCTTACAAATTAGATTCTCATCAAAATTTAAGTAAACATTATATGCGTCAACCTGTATATAATATGTATATTTAATAGTTCGAATCCTATTCGGTTTAATTTAACAATTCAGACCAATTTTTGTCACTTTTACATCGTTGGTATTTGACTGCCATATTTTAACCTTTAACTATAATGTATACCTTAAATATTATAAAAAGGGATAGCGTTTGTATCATCCTGTATTTATAACGTATTCATGAGGCTCTGACTGGTTATGAAGAAAATAAACACTTCTAAAATAATAATACTGTATGACACTTTTATCGCTCATTGTATTTTTCTAGTACCTAGTAACGTCACAAAGTATCAAATTATAAATGAACACTTGTGACGAAAATTCTTTGTCTTGTTTTTCGATTATCAATTGAGTTTCTTTGCGTGGCATTTGTCTTTTGATCTTCATAACCCTCGCCTGAGAGGAGACCTGACTAGACGTAACTCCTATTGTACAAAAGAACTCGGGAGTTGAGTGGGGGGCAACCCTCTTGCCTTTACTAGTTTGTCAATCTCTTCCAATACAGGTTATTACAATAAATATTACTCACTTTGCGACATGATAATGTCCACACTAATGATAAACATTATATAAATTTTGTCGCAAATACTTGCAAAAATGGTATAACCCATATTGATGTTTTTTTTTTCTACAATATAACTACTGCAATATTAATTTAATTACTAAATTTTTTTGGTATATGAAATCCGCATCTAAATTTAAAATAAGTTTGTCTTTAGTGTTATTTAAAGTAATATTGTAGAAAAGAAATCAACGAGGATTGTGCCACTTTTAGATCTCAAATAACAATCTGGTTATAATGTACTTTTTTTTTTAGAAATAAACGGTCAGAGCCTTGAGAAAGAGGGATGGTTAAATTTAGAAAAGTTAAAACTATAAATTCCTGAAATCATATAAGTCCTTCACATTACTTTGAAACTACGAAAAACAAGAATTATTAAATATTTTTATTTGCTAGTCGACAACTTGATATGTTAAAATAATTATTCATAGTCGTAAAATACTAATTATAATGTATTGTGTAAAATATTTTTTTTTTAGTTATTATTATCAATAAATTAAAATTTGTTTATTTTAAAAAAATGTTTGTTTTATTTTATTTAACCTCCATTTTCGCTAACTGCAACAACAATGAGAAAAGAAAAACCGTGGTAGCCTAATAGATTGATCTACTGCCTCTGCCTCCTTTCGAATTCTGATTCGCAGCGTATTTTTGTGCCAAATTCGAAATTTATCATGAGCTTTTTTGTGAATGAATGAAACCTACACGTCGAAAAGGTTCACAAACCTCGCGAAAAACACGTAAGATCCCCAACCCTCATTGGGCCAGCGTGACGGACTATGGCCTAACTGAAGCATAATATCATTGGCCTAACCCTCGCCAGAGAGGGGGATTGGGTTGATGATGTAACAACAACACTTCGCACATTTGCAAAACGAAGACTTCAGCAGAGCGGTTTAAAGATTCTACAATCGAAATTAACAGTCGCAAGAATTCTCGCGTATGCTTTTACACAATCATCATATTGACCCTAAAGGGTTATATTTTTAATTGAAATACGTTAATATGAAATGAGAGAGAAAACTTGTACACCATAAACGTATTTCTTTCTACACCACCTACGCATTCTTGTACACAAGCGTACGTGACTTGAGCAAAGTACAAGATCCCAAAAGCGCTTGATTCAATAACATTATAACATCACAAAAAAGTTAAACATAAACAATTTTAATGGTATTTATTTTTAACCTAACGGGGCAGATGGAACGGAAAAAGTAGAAATTTCCATTAACAAATGGTGCTAATCTCTCGGGATTATCTTTCAAAGTCAAATAATCATTTATTCCGTAGGTAATATAAATTTACGCTTGAAAACGTCTCTTAAGCTACTGCGCGTACACTAAGCTGACTTCCCTGAGAAGAACGAGCAAGAAACTCTAAGGATTGCTCTTTTCAAATAAACTTAAATGTAATACATTTTGAATCAAATTGGTGTGGAATCTAGTCATGTCATTCCATACATCTTCAATTTTGTAACATGACTTTTCAATTAAAATATTTTTTATGTAGGTTTTAACAATCTTAATGTGCTCCGGAATGTTATTGTAAAAACGTATACAGTTCCCCATAAAAGAGTCGTTTATCTTGGTTAAACTTTTCTCTGAGAGAAATACGAGAACCTAAACGGTAGGTACACAGAATGAAAAGCTCGTCTACCGTTTTATCCCACATGAGAATCCCGTAGGACATTATACTATGGAAGTAACTAAACAGAACTAGTCTAGCAGTACTAACATCGGTAAGCTCACGTATTCTGCGGAGTTG